CCGCCATCTTCCTTCCTCGTCATACATTTGACGAAGGTGTATAACAGTGCACCATCGTCTACGGTAGACACGCCCTGGATCAGGGTCGACGCCCTGCGTCTTGCAGCCAGCATACGGCGTTGCCGTCGCCTCTGTACAGAGGTTCTATGCCCCGGTGAGACCAGGGTGAACACGCATTCCGCGTCGTCCGGTGTTACCCTCACTGTCCGCTCCTTTGGAGCTCCGATGTTATCTACAACATCCGACGAAGAGCTGCTAACCTCGCACTCTTCGTCCAGCGGATAACGTGCCACTCCACGCGAATCTGAAGGGCCGCACCCAAGATGCCTCAGACTCTGTCGGATCACGCCATCAATGGCATGCAGCGTCTCCTTCGCAACGAGAGCAGCGCTCAGTGGTTTACGTGCCACTTCACGTGCATCACGGGGCCTCGCCCTCGATGCCTCGGCCTTTGGCCGACCATGTCACGCATGACATGCAGCGACTGCCCCGAAACTTGAGCAGCGCTCAGTGGGTTACGTGCCACTCCACGATCAGCCCGCGAGCCACGCTCGGAACTCCTGTCCGATACACCGTTCGTGTCTACCAACTCGGAAATCCAATGCCCAGCACGTTGACCGGATCGGTCCAGTACTCTCGCCAATAGCGCTTTTGTCTCCTAGCAGAGGTGGGTTCATGACTCGCCAAAGCTACCAGGAGACGTGGGCGTAGCGCCCAATAGGTCTTTGACCTCGAACTAATCCATGGCTCATGGTGTTCCAACCATTCCATTCCTAGTATGAGGTCATACCTTGCATCCAGATCCAAGACTAGACAGCGTTTCACGCTATCAGAGTCAAGAAACTTGACTCCGAGGTCCACCGGGACCTTCGGCGCCGTGATACGTGTCCCCGTCGCTAGGCGAACAGTGACAATGTCACCCAACCGCGCTTTCAGCGCCTCACCATACAGCTGACTTTCTTCCATCGTGGAGCGTCTAGCATAGTTGCCCGACGCCCCGGATTCGATGAGGATCTTCCATGGATTCTTGAAGCCCTTTACGGTCGCTTCCACGACCAGCAAGCTCGGCTTGCATACACGTTCCGTGTTCAAGAGCACGGAGCTCT